GAATATATAGAAGCTCAGCGACTCATAAAGCCTAGCATTTATGCCAGTGAGATCAGGCAAAGACTGCTTCGTGATGGAATCCTTCATCCAACTAATCTCCCAAGCGGTTCACAAATAAACAAACTGTCACGAAATCAGCACGCCATGACGAGAAAAAAAAAAAAATCAGTTATTCCGCGTGAATCTACCACGACTGAAATAGCCGACAGAACAGATGATTATCTGAATGAAATTTCGACCTTTCACTCAACTCAACTGTACTTTTTCGATGAAACTGGGGTGATCAAAACTTCGGGAAATAGAATTTATAGCAGTGCGCCTGTAGGCGTACCCGCATTCGAAGTGCAACGCTACGCGTCAAGTGCGAATTACACAGTTAACTTAATGCACTCGATAACCGGGCTTGACTTTTTTAACATTTTAGACGGGCCGTCGAATGGCATGGAGCTTCTGAATTTTTTTGATGAAGCTTTGCAGTTAGAGCGGGAAGATGGAAGCGCTGTTCTTGAACGTGGGAATTGTGTTATTATGGATAATTGTGGTTTTCACCATGCTCGATCTGTGGAACCCGTTTTGCGGGGCATGTTTGGAGATTCCGTATTCCCCATATTTCAACACATGTGAACTGTGTTTCCACCAAATCAAGGGCTTTTTGCAACGACACCAACTGCTAGCTGAACATGAAACGAAAATTGCTATTGCTGATGGTATACTTGAAATTACCCCACGACAATCCTGGTCATTTTTCAACATGTTGGATATGTTTTGTAATAGCACACTTGATAGCCATGTCGGCACGTCATAGACAAGCAATTTGTTATATTCGACCTCCTGTTTCGTGAGAATGCTTCCGCACGCCAGCCTGTCTGACATTGTGTTGGTTTCCTTATGAAGTGTATGAAATCAGAACCAGACTACAAAAACCTTAATTTATTTCATTGAGTAATTCTACCATGATCAGTTTTACCTCTGAACAACTCGTGTACAATACATTTATAACTTTTCAGACCAAGAAACAGAACATCAAAAACACCCGTGTTTGCTCTTTCCAAATGCAATTATGCGCGACCGCAAAGCGCCTGGATAAAGTAAACGAACAGAACGTTGTAAATGATAATGGAATAATCTACTTACAGTAAGATACAAACCAAGATTATTTTGATTAAATGCTGTAAAGTACGCTTACAGGTAAAACACAACACTAAAAGTATCAATAGAACATCGAGATTCATCAACTCACAGTTACAGTCACTACTGTGCAGTAGAGCGCATCGAGTTACTATGAAAGTGGGATCATGATTTTTCTTCGTAAAAACAAAACTCATAACTCAACAAAAGCAGTCTAATAAAGCCGAAAATATCGCAACAAATAATCCGTAATGTCACCGCTGTCT